TAAACCAGCACAGCCCACACACACACACTCTTTTTTTCTCTTTTCCAGAGTAAAATTTCTGAGCATAAGAGCGTCTAATGGATCCACAGACACCCACATTCATCTGTTTGTCGTTCTGATTAAAAACACGGCGAAGAATCGGCGCCTTTCACCTGATTAATTTATGTGAGGTTGTTTGTGTCGAAACTCTCCGGAGATAAAAACAGACCCAACTGGATTTTCAACAGCTGCTGTTGGTTCAAGAGGCACTCTGGCTCTCTGATTAAATTGATTGGTTGTTGATTAGTTTTTTAGAAAGCCATTTTCAGTCCCTGAAGAGTCCATCTCCCTAATGAAGGAGAATAAACAGCTGGGGTTGTCTTTATCCGGGTTATCTTTAATTTAACTCTGCGAGGGGAAAACTTTCAGAGAGGTAATAAAAACTTTAGTTTTTTCTCCCCAACTCGAGTCAAATCTTTGCGAGAAATACACTGATTTATATAAAATCGACCGAACACAACGGAGAAAAGGATCATTTTGTTTGTCAGTTTTTATAATTTGATAAAAAATCAAACTGACTGAAATAAAAGGAATAAAAGAGGCTGAAAAGAAAGGATGAGAAGGAGCTTATTATTTCAATCTCTTCACTCCTTAAAAACATCTTTTATTTTTCTGATCATTTTCAAATGTAAAAAAGTAAAATAATAAAACATTCCTGGGAAGAAAACCTCTGAATTTATGACATTTAGAAGATGTTTCTGGAACTATTGAAAGGTGGAGGAGAGAATGAAACATATTGAGTTTGTTGTTGAGAGTGTTCGCTGTAACCCATATTAATCATATTATTATTACTTTAAATCATAATTGATTATTATTGCTATGATTTTAGATTTCAGATCAGATTGAATTTCAGATCTCTGTGAATCTCCCACAGACCCAAACGGTAGGCTCAGAAACAGTGAGACTTCCTACATCACAAATCCAAGCTCCGCCCCCTGAGCCCCGCTATGCAGACCAGACTGAGAGAAGTAGAGAGGACGATCACAGAACAAGCGTGTGTGTTAGGGGATGGCAATGTTCGTAAGAAAGCTAATTATGATGTTAACTTTCATCGTGTCCCTGAAGACATCCGTGTCTCAGAACTGACTTAGCTCTGATGTGACCTGCTTCTGCTACGACATAAGTTAACATGAAGACGGGTGTAGACGGGTGTAGACGGCAGAGCAGCGCTGTCTCCGCCCACGTCTCAGAGGTGAATTGTTATTGAGCTGCTGCAGAAGAAAAGTCCCTGAAAACAGGAAACAGTTAATGTGATCTAAAACTTCTTAATCACGATTTAAAGTCGACTGAGAAGACTTGAAGGACAACACACTCAGAGTTTTCTACGGCGTACAGCAGACCCGCTCCGGTTCTACAGTCCCGGCCTCTCAGACCTCCTGAGTCTTTAACATGGACTCACTTTTATTGAACCTGTAACACTTGATATGGAACAAGAATAAGACGCTTTGTCCTTTGTTGCTCCTGTAATTTCAGATTTGGTTTTCGTTTTCTTTTGTTCTCTAAGACTTTAAATTCGTTTGTAAAGAGAAAAAAAAAAAGTCCTTGAACGATGAAAACGCTCTTTTGTTCATCTCGTTGTTTCTTTGTCTGCCGTGTTGAACTTGATTACTGTCATCTGCTCGTTTCCACTCAAAACAAAGCTTCTGTCGTGTCTGCTCGGTGACTCAGTTTCTTTCTTTTTCAGATGTTATAAAGATTATGTCTTATTCATAAAAAAGTAAAGGCTTCAGGTCACTTTGTAAGACATGACTGAAATATCTGACCGTGGATCTGCACAGATGACAGACGGGCCGACAGGTGGGACAAAAGCCTGAGAGCAGACAAAAGAACGATGAAGAGGACAGGGATGCTGTGACTGTGACATTTACCGTTTGTCTCTCAGATAAATCTGTTTCAGTCCTGCAGGAACGAGAAGACGGAGTGTGAGTCCCTCCTGCAGGTGGAGGATGAAAGGTGGAGAAATGAGCGACTAAACTCAGATGAGAGGAGCTTCAGAGATGGTGACTGTGTGTGTGTGTGTGTGTGTGTGTGTGTGTGTGTGTGTGTGTGTGTGTGTGTGTGTGTCTCATCGTCTTTTTCAGGTTTTGGAGTTGAACAGATTTTGCTAAAGAGTGGCCGACTCTCGTCTCTCTGCTCTGATCCATCGTCTCTTTTCTCTTTCACATCCACGTCAGTAAAATGATTGACATGAATCTCAAGGATGGCGCCCTCCACCTCCGTCCTCACATGTAACTCTCATGGTTTTCAGTCTCGCTCTCCTTGATTCCTCTGATCCGTGACGCACCGCTGCAAAAACACGCCACAAGAAGTCATTTCTGATTTTTCCTGCTCTCTTCTCTTCCTCCCTGAGCTGCTGCAGTATGACGGCAGATGTTCAAGGCTGCCGGCTCGCTGTGAAGAGGAACATGTGAAGAAAACTGTGAAGAAGGTCTGAGGGACCCGCTGATCAGCATCTCATCAGACCCCCCTGCTGTGTTTGTTGTCTGTTACATAAACCTCGAAGGGCGTCGAAGAAATCATCGGAGAAACAAAAGGAAGGATGTTGTTTACCTGCTCAGAGCTCAGGTGTGGTTACCGAGAGACAACTGAGCTGTTTGGTCGACGAGAACCTGGATGATGAAAACAAAGCTCTTCCTGGGTGCTCTTCCAGGGGGTAAAATGCTAACAAAGAGCCATCCAGAAGTCCTTCCGATAAAACCAATGACCTCGAGAAAGCCCTTTATGTAGATCGTATCCCTGAATGTCCATCCAATCAATGAAACTTTATCAAAATGCCCCCTGGATGCCCTTTGAATGGATGAAGTATAAACGAATCGCCCCCAGGATGTCCTCCCGAAGAGTCAAATGTCCTCTAGAAGCCTTAAGAAGACCTGTTCAGAAGAACCCTGTGGATGCCTTTCAACGGAAAATTTGCAGACGCCTCCTGGATGCCCTTCCAATGGATAAGATATCAATAAAGCGCCCTCTGGATGCCCCTTTAATGAGCTGAATGTCATCAAAGTTTTGGCCCTTCCAACTAATATATGTAAACACAGTGTCCTCTGGATGCCCTCCCAGATGTTAAAATGTAATCAGAGCGCCCCCTCAGGGCCTCTACTCCTGGTTAAATGTGTTTGAGTGTCTCTTTGGTCTTTTTCCTGAATTTAATGTATTAGTTTTATTTAGTTTTGGGTTCATTCTGAGTCTTTTACAGTCTTCTTGTGGATGATAACTGGTTGGACTTTATCCTTTTAAATCAGGCGCTGATCCGATGAGAAGGAGCGTGTCATCATGTCCTGTTAGTTTTATTGGAGAATATTTTCTGTGTATTTTCCCGAGTGTTTCTGTTCCTCTGTTGTCCAGTCTTGTGAGTTTTCAGTTTGACCCTGTTTCCCTCCTGCTCTCAGTGTTTTATTCTTTAGAACAGTTTTCAAAGTTTATTTCCTGTTTTATTTTGTAGGAGTTGATTTCTTGTGTTTCCTGTTTTATTTTGTAGGAGTTGATTCCCTGTGTTTCTAGTCTGGTTTTACTTCCCTGGTTTTCGTTAATCCCTCATGAGTCTCACCTGTGTCTCGTTTCTCAGTCTGTATATAGTCCCTGTTTTCTCCTCTGTCTTTGTTGGTTCGTTGTGTGTTTTTGTCGGTCAGTGAGTGTCTTTATTAGTCGTTATTTTCCACTTGTGTTTTTTCTTGGATTTTTTCTCCTTGTGTTTTTAAAGTAGGTTTTTATTGTCTATTTCATTTAGTTATTTTTAAAGAACTCCTTTTTCGTCTGCTTTTGGGTCCTTTCCCTTTTGTTAAGCTCTAGCTCATGTCAGGGTGGTCTTTGTGTTTTGGCTGATAAGTTTAAAATCAGAGTTTTAAATGATATTTGATTTATGAATAAAGTGGAGCGTTTGTGATGTGGAGCGAGAGGAGAAAGCAGAACAGTGACTGATCTTAAAAATGCAGCGGCTGTAAAAAATGCATGAAGCTCGTTTTTCATTTTTTATATATCCTCATGTGCCAAACAACATTTTAGAAAAGGGAAAAACTGAAAGATGCAGTAAAAGTTCCTCTTATTTGTTCACTAGAGAGGATTCATCTTTACTTTTCCTTTCTTTACTTTGGACGCTGCATGTCCATCTTTTCAGAAGATAGTTTTACTCCAGAAAACTGCCCCTCTGACGTCTTTGAGTCATTAAATTGTGCTGAGTTTGATAAACTAGAAAAATCAGTGATGGTTTCTGTGCACCGCACATTAAAGCTCCTGTATGTCGTAATAATAACCTCATGAAAATGTGAATATTAAAGCTTCAGTGTGGAGTTTTTTGACTCTGATAAAATCAACTGAACTTCATTTTGGTGTCTTTTTATTAAACAGGACATCAGAAACATGACTGATCCACTCCTGAAGACAAGCCAAGACTGCTTTGTCCACAGGGGGCGCCAAAGTTGACATGTACCAAAGTTCCTCACAGGAGCTTTAAACATGTTCGACATTTATGATCCCAGATCTGGGAGATTTTACCTCCTTCAGACGCGGTGAAGAGGTCGTACTGACGCCACATACTCGAGGATGGACAGATGAGGTTAAAAGGAGATAAAAAGGTCAGAGTTCGTGTGTCTCGTCATTTTCCTGCTTTTCTATTTAAGTTTCATTTTCAGAGTATTTCCCTGCTGGTTCTGTTCCCTGTTTCTATTGTTGGTTTATTTCTGGTCGTTTCTGTGTCGTGTGTTTCAGGTTCCTCGTGTTTCCACATTTAGCTCGTCGTCCTAAGTCAAGTTTTGCTTCAAATATTTTTTATTTAATTTTTTCAAGAGAATACAGTCAGAATTTTGACTTTTTAAAAACTCCTTTAATTTAAACTTTTATTTTTCAGAATTTAAACTTTATATTTTTCAGAATTTAAACATTAATTTTTCAGAATTTTAACTTTAAATTTTTCAGAATTCAGGTTTTAAAAAGTCAGGTTACAGGGTTTCCTGGAAAGTATGGAAATAAATGTGATTAATTTCCAGGTCTTAAAAAGTCTGGAAAATGAAAACTAAAGGATGGAGAAATATTAATGTTTCCAGATTATTACCACAGGTACAAAAGTCTGTTTTCTAAAATAGAAAAGTCGGTGTTTCCAAAAATAATTCTAAAACCTCGGGGACAGAAAAGTATGTAAATCCCCACTGTGTAAGAATCCTGGATTAAGATTAAATTCTCAACGATATTCTGTTAAAAAAATGAATCTCAGACTTTTGTCTTTTCCCAGACTTCTGAGATTAAAGTCTGAATTCTTGGATTAAAGAGAAATATCTGAATTTAACCTCAGAATTCTGAATTTAAATGATAATTATAATGTTTTAGAGTCCTCGTCTTTCTCCATCAGTCTGATTTTTTCGTCGTTTAACTTCTGATCATTCTGTTAGAAGGACGGTGAGTTTTCTCCAACATGTCCCTCCTCCGCTCTCCTCCTGACACTCTCAGAAACCAGACGGCAGATTTAGTTTGTTTCATGTTTTAATAGATCACACTCTGGTTGACAATCATCGACAGACTGGAGCAAGCTTCTGTTACACAGAACAAAACGAACGCCCACCGAGAGGGACGTTCAGTACCCGACACTTCTCATGCTTTAATGATGCTAAAACAGAAACAGATTAACCACGACAGCAATCCATAAAACATGCAGACACGCCTCTGAGCGCGGCGCACGTGTGTCAGGTTCAGGTTCTCCTCCTGGTCTCTGGTCCCTGAGTTTCTAAGTTTTGGTCGAGTCTTTTCTCTGGAAAGGCATGAGGAGCTTGTGTGCTCTCAGTCTGAACTTCTGATCCCTCACACTGTAGATGATCACATTCCAGCAGCTGTTGGTCGCCAAAATCCAGAAGGCAAAAAAGGAAAAGTTGCACCATTTATTCCCCAGGACGTTCCCGACCACGAAGACGGCGATGGGGGTGAATGATGCGGTGAACGCCACCGTAAGGGCGCCTATTGTTTTGGCCGCTTTAATGTCAGAGAAGGTGGGTTTGGTGGTGCTTTGGCACTCGGCCTCGGCGAGGTGTTTCCTGCGCCGCGAGTGCTGCCTGATGCTGGACAGAGAGATGATGTTGATGACCACGGTTCCCCCGAGGAGCGTGAAGTCGAAGACGGGGAAGAGGAGGAGGATGTTCCAGGCCTGGCTGGGGAACTCGCCGATGTTCCCCAGAGCGTAGTTACACATCCGGCTGCAGGAGTTGTACTCCAGAGCGATCTCGCTGCTGAAAACCATCGGAGACACGGCCAAGAAGAAGCTGCCCACCCAGGAGAGGACGATGAGGATCATGGTCCTCTTACGGGTGATCACGGAGTCTTTGTGCAGCGGCCTCAACACGGCGATGCTCCTCTCGATCGTCAGCAGGAAGATGGTCGTGATGGAGACGAAAGTGCACCCCGCAAAGATGGGCCCGATGATGTTGCACGGGTGGAAATTGACGGACTGCGAGTTGTAAGAAGTCCACTCCGGTGCCGAGTCCGTCACCATGAGATAAACCTCCGCGTAGACAGACACCGGCACCACAAAAATCCCCACCACCAGATCAGCCACGGCGAGCGACGCCTTCAGGTAACCCTGCGAGGTCTTAAAGTGTTTCGTCCCCAAGATCACCGCCAGGGTCACCAAGTTCCCGAACAAGATGGCGAGGATGAGCAGCACCATGAAGAGCACCATGAGGATTTTGTTGGTCAGGGTGCAGCAGCACACGGTGCAGTGCGCCGGCTCGGTCCCGCCGAACATGCTCGGAGTGCCGGTCTCAATCATTGGATCGACTGTTGGCTAAACCGCTGAGTCCATGACCTGAGGGAGAAACAGACGGGGAGAGACGTCAGATCAGAGAAACAGACCTGCTGGAGCTGTGAGAGGAGATGGAGATGAATCATGATGGTAGACACGAAGATGGATGGATGGAGTGATTGATAGATTGATAGGTGGATGGATGGGAAGATGGTCAGTGGTCTTTGGATGGATGGTCAGTGCACTGATGAATGACAGATATTGATAGTTGTATGTTCGATATAAAGATGGACGGTTCTGATGGTTCTGATGGTTCTGATGGTTCTGATGGTTCTGATGGTCCTGATGGTTCTGATGGTTCTGATGGGGGTGGATGGACTGATGCTCCAGAGTAAAGCGGGATGATGTCATAATCTGGCCGGACAACAACAGCTGTAGTAGTAAACAAAACCCAGCTGCTGCTCGTGGTCGTTAATCCGCAGAGTCCGGCACGTTCCTGGACATCCTTCAGTTCAGAGTCAGGATCTTATTTTCTCTTTTTAGCTCTAATTTCATTAATTTAGAAATAAAAACACGATCATTAAGACTGCAGTAATATTGAGGGTTAAAGAGCTGAATCTGAAACGTCCATCCCCTCCTGCAGGAGCAGATCGGGGATGTCTCCTGACTGTTGATGTCTCCTGACTGTCGATGTCTCCTGACTGTTGATGTCTCCTGACTGTTGATGTCTCCTGACTGTTGATGTCTCCGGACTGTTGATGTCTCCTGACTGTTGATGTCTCCTAGGGTTGTAAATGTTTCATGGAGTTTGAGTGATATTTAAAGAGGCTGCCGAGTTCAGCGGTTCTTAAATGTCGACTTTGGGCGTTTTTACCACCAGGAACGTGACAGAGACTGAGCTCCAAACTGTCCTGCCGGTTTACTCTCAGCCTCACATGTCCTCTCCCCGAGCTCTCCTTCCCTATTTCACTGGATATCCATCTCCAGCGCGCAGCCATGCGTGAACCTCCCGCACATCCAGACAGTAATCCTCGGGATGCAAAGAGGGATCCGTGCAGAAATCCCAGTAAACTCTGTGCGTCTAACACGACACTACTGCACGTTTATTTACCCGCAGATTAGCGCAGCTGGTGCGGAGGTTTCTGCGGGAATTCACGCAAAGATTTGTCTCTCAGAGTTTAAGGAGACACCTGCTTCTAAAACCGATTTTAATCATCATTCTGGAGTCTGAACCCAGTCTGCTGGTTCACATGATTTCACTTCAACATGATCAGAACTCTACTCACTTTAGCTCTTAAATTCACTCCAAGGCGCAGAGTCCAGCCGTGCGTGAAGAAGCATCCCCGCTGAATCCTCTCCCAGCGAGTCTCTTCTGCATCTTAAACCATCTTCAAGTCTCGAAGATGAGAATGAAACTGAAAATTCACTCCGAGTGTCTCTGCGTGACCCGGACCAAAGGAGGAGGACGGATCCGCGCCACAGTCCGGCGCTGCGCTCTGCTCTGCTCCTCTCCGCGCCGAGGACTCAGTCCAAGTGTCTCCTCCGCTGGTTCCTCCTTTGGCTGAGGATGAGGATGGCAGAAGACCTCCTCCTCCTCTCTCTCTCTCTCTTCCCCCCTCTCTCTCTCTCTCTTTCCTCCGCGCTGTGCCTGTAGCATGAAGACCACAGGAGGAAGAGGAGGGAGGAGGAGGAGGAGGAGGAGGAGTGTTGACCGTCAGCGAGTCCAAATGGTCCCTTTAGGATCAGACTCCGAGGACTTGGTCTCATGAACCCAGAATGTCTCACACAGCATGTGTGTCTCCAGCCTGTTTCTGGTTTTCCTGATGAATCCTGATCTTCAGATCTAAACCTGGTTTTGGACTGTCCATCATCACAGCGTTCACCGCCTCAGAGTGAAGTCCAGATTCTCTTGGACCACATAAGATGGACTATATGATGTCTCTGGAGTCTGCACTCTTAAAAACAACCCAGTTTGGCTCGTTTTTCCAACCCAGTGCTGTTTTCATTTATTCGCTCGTCTTCCCAGTGTGTTAATAAACCAACAGTGAACAACTCTGTTCCTGACAGAAATAACCTTGTGAGTTTGGTACCCAGAATACCCTTCTCCATGAAAATAACCCACATAAACTGACCAACAGGCTTTTGTGTGTGGTCCACCCTGACCCAGGCTGTCCATCTGCTCTGAGCTCCCTGTTGGCGTGTTACTGTCGTCAGGTCAGGCTGCAGTCTGTCAGGAGGAGGTCTCTGGAGGTCTGGGGCCTCAGGATGAACCTCTTTGGGTCCTGCACTCCTGTTGGGTTTTTCTGTGCCCCACTTTAGCAGAGTTCCCTGTTATCTGAGTGTGTCCACCTTCTCCACCAATGTCATGTTGATGGTGACCTCTTCACCTGTGGTCCACAATGACAGCATTTAAGGAGGTCTTGGTCTCTACCACCACAGATCCAAGACCAAAAAGGGAACCCTGGGTCCCCTTGTAATAATAATAATAATAATATTAATATTAATAATAATAATGCATCAGATTTCATATAGTGTTTTATCAGAGACCCTCAAAGCTCTCTACATCAGTTACATCATTCACTCACTCACACAGTCACACCCTGGTGGTGGTAAACTACCTTAATAATCACAGACTGACGGAAACATGGCTGCCAGTACGGCCTCTCCGACCACCACCACACAACACTCACAATCACACACCAGTGGAGGACACACACTGAGGGCACTTTCCCAACACCTACTTACCACAAAGCAGACGATTGTTTGTAGAGAGACCTCGGACCAGTCCATTACAGACTACAGTGGGGTGCCGCAGCTCAAGGAAGAACATTCATGATAACCTGATAATCATAATCAGGTTTAATCATTTTACAGACTCAGTAGTTCTTCTGTCTCAGCGTCTCGGTCTGATTGTATTTCCATGAAGAAATTATCATAAATGTTCTTCCTTGAGCTGCAGCACCCCGCTGTAGTCTGTAATGGACTGGCCTGAGGTCTCACTACAAACAAGCGTCTGCTGGAAGAGAGTAGGTGAGTTGTGTTTAGTCTCTTTGCTAAAGAAATGAGTCAAAGTTAAAAAGATGTTTGGTGTCTAGTACTATGTCTGTGACCCTATATGTCCTGTTGATGAAGTTAGGTGCTGTTCTGAGCATTATTTGTGGCTATAGAGTGGCGTTTTGGTTGATGTTTGTTTATGGCTCCTCAGACCGCTGTGTATTGACTGGGAAAGTGCTCTCAGGATGCCATCCCAGTATAACAGATGTATTAAAGACAAAACATTTGTGCCCTTGTTGAAAATAGATAAAAGTCTCTCCCCTGGATGCCTGATTCATTTACAGCGAGAAGGTGCTGTTTTAGTGAGTCCACTTTATTATAAACTGTCTGTTTAGTTTTGTAAAGAATTACTGTGAAAAATAGACATGTAAGAACCGGGATATTTTAATGTGCTCATTTACACTTAAATAAAGAGAATCAAGTCCAGAAAGACTGATTTCTGGTTTTCTTGTTGAACCATCACTGAAGTCTGAGTCTGACCGCTCAGTCCGTCCAATCCTCCTCCAAATCTCCTCATCTCCCCAGAATCTGTTCATCCTCCGTCTTCAGACTCTGAATCATCTGCAGCTTCTCAGACCCTCCAGCAGTCAGCGGGGCGTAGTAAACACTGCATCGATGGTGTAATACTATCATTTTTCTGCAGGTTTGGCTCTCGTCCCGCTCAGGCAGCAGTGGACACAACAAAACAAAAGCTTAATCCCGTGCTTCTCCGTGTGTGGTGGGTAATCCTTAATCCAAAGGTCACAGCGGGGGAGGGACACAGCGGGGATGTTTTACGTCGTCACATCTCAGTTCGTTTCTGAGGCTTGAAGCAGCTGAGGCACACGGTGTCCTCTTATACCTGCTTATTATGGAGATTAAAGGGACATTCAGTGTGTTTTAAACCTCTGAGTGTGTGGTTTCATTTCCACTCAGTGTTACAGGAAAATCTGGTGAAAGTACCCAACAGAGAAAAGACGAACCCTGAAACTGAAACAGACCTCTGCCCCTATTTTATTGATTTTATTACAACAAATCAAGTTCTGAAACTGAAAAACTTCAAATGGCATAAACATATTTAAAAAAATCAGTACTGTGACATTTCAACTGTGTGCAGTACAACCCATCATAGTAGAGTGGAATACAATACAATACAACACAGTACTACAAAATACTGTACACTAGGATAAAATACTACAAAAGATACTGGACAATTCAATACTAAGGTTAAACGAGTTGATTGAATTATTACCAGAATAAGAATAACTTAATTTTATACCAAAAGGGAAATTCAATCATGTAAAATATGTGATCTATGTCACAGTGTGACGTGAAAAGACCTAAAACAGACACATTTTCATACATCATAAAAAGATATGATAGGATACAAGACGATACTTGACAATATAACACAGTAAAATATTTTACGATATGTTACAATACCATATGATACAATACGATACGATAATTTAGGATACAACACAATACGTTACAATACCATACGATAAGATACGTTACAGTACAACACGATACAATGCGTTACAATTCAACACAACATGATGCGATATGTTACGATAGGTAACAATATTACATGATACGATACGCTACCATACAGTATGATACAACACGATACAATAGGTTACAATACATCACGATATGATACGATACGATATGGTATATGTTACAATACCACACGAAACGATACAACATGATACGATATGATACGTTGCAATACAACACAATATGTCACGATACGATCCAATACAATACGATACAGTTTGGTACTTTATGATAGCGTCGGATTGGGTAGGACACAGTCCAGTAAAATAGGATCAGGTTTATGATGTGCTACAACATGATACGTTAAAATCATGAATACACTATGATATGATACAGTACGAGTATTGAGTGAACATGATGCACTTAAAAATGATGCAACAGGATAGTTTAGAAAGGACATATATGATAAGGTTTGATTAGATATTGTAGTGTAGGGCAGAATCCAGTTCAGTTCATTATAATAAAGTTGTTTTACAGTCAGTTTTCCTCTTTCATATATTAACCTGCCTTCATAACTCTATAAAAGTTTTAAACAATAAAAAGTTAATTTATTAATAAGAAGAAGAGCAGATAAATAAATCATCTGAATGTGATCAAACAGGTTCAGAGGAAACTTCAGACACTAGGGGGCAGTAATGAGGCTCTTCTCTCCCTCCTGCAGCTTTTTAACCTCCTGATCAGACAAACTTGGAGAGAAACAGCCTCATCCAGATTCTGTGAGAGGCTTCACGCTGTTCCTCCTTGACCTTTACAGCGACCTTTGACCTCCGTCTCTCTGCGCTCATCTGCTGGGTGTTAATATTCCACTCAGAGACTTTCCTTCTCAGGTTTTTACTCATGCACTGAAAACCTGCTGTGATGTTTTTTCTAATATTTCAGACCGGAGTGATCCTGCAGACGATGACGAACCTTCAAGTGTGTCTCATGACTTATTTAGAGGATAAAAGCAGAAACTCTCCGTGGAGCTTTAATGATGTCTGCAGGGGTTTACCTGTTCAAACTCATTTCAGTCTCACATTCCTGCCGGCCCAACGCTGTTAAAATGATTAAAATGATATTTATTCACAGAGAGCAGAGACAACTCCAGCGCTAACATCTCTGTGTGAGTTTAAGATGAATAACTGTGTGTATATCTGATCTGTTGAGCTGAGGACCGCTTCCTCGTCGTTATGTGTCGCCAACATGGTGGGAGAACAGAAAACAATAACTCTGAGATAATAAACCGGAGTTCAACAGAGACGACGCTCTGAAATAGGTTTCTGTGTAACGTCTGACAGCTACGAGAAAACAAGCAATCACAGCCGTCAATATTTTTCTCTTCAGCAACGGTGAGAAATAATGATTTCATAACAGTCAGAGTCCATTTGAAACGACAAACGACCGCTAACAGTGTGCTGAAGAGACACGACCAGAGAGCAGAGATAGAGCTGTTACATAAAGCTCATCTGAAGGGGCTAAAAACAACACTTTTTATTTAAAGACACAGTCTGGAGGAGGCCATCCACACACTCCACACCGAGGTGAAGCTCTGCACTGAGAGGGAGAGGAAACCCGTCACCCTGTTATCGTCAAACTGAACAAAACGTCTTTAAAGTAGAAAATACAGACATAAAAAAATAACACCGATGAGAATCAGACAAAGAAAGACACGTTAATTTAACATGTTGGTATCTTTATAAATCCGTCTGTATGGAGAGCAAAAGCAGGCAGAACACAACCCCATCAGATATCTGCAGCAAGGTCACTGACAGTCTGTTCAAGGTCAAACATTCACGATACACAAATCTGCTCATCGAAAACCCGTCAGCGTCGCCTGTCACTCAGCAAATAGGCTCCCAGGACGCTTCGCAGCTCCGTCTCAGAAAGTCAAGTACCAAAAACACAAATGTTATCCGGTAAATTTCAAAATAAAACTCCATATGTGAACGCCCTACTTTATTAAACACGAGTTAACCTGCAAAAACTGAATCTGTGAAATCACGTTGTTTTTTCACATACAGTAAAAACTCAACAGACACTGAATTATATCCAAATTATCAGGAAATCGACCACAGAAAGGAAAAACAACCTGTTGTGAGCTCAGAAACACGACGCTGACAGAACGCACTTCACACAGATCCTGTATGTTTTCATCTTTAGTGTTCACAGTGAAACTGAGACCCTCCAGATACAGATGGAAAGAACATCATTGTGTTATTTTGGTCATTTTAAGGCCCTTTATGTGGGAGTGAACCGAGAGAGAGAGAGAGAGAGATCATTTTTAAAGGTTTATACATATCGAAACCTTTCTCTTTCGGAAAGCCTACCTGGACTAATTTTATCTGATTTTATCTGCTGACTGTTTATTTTATTTTATTTTTATTTTATTTTATTTATTTATTTTTTATGTTGTATGTTATTTATTGTTGCTTGGTTTTTATTATTACTGTTGTCTTGTGCACTTTGAGATTTGTTTTTAAATGTAAAGTGCGTAATAAATAAAATCTATTATTATTATTATTAGATGACGTAAGCTAGAATGTAACCGACTGTTTGCAGTGAAACTGAGACTCATCAGAAACTGAACATCATCATTTATCGGTGAACTGAGGTCCGAGTACTTTGGAGTGAATCACCAGGAAACTGTTTGTTTTTAAGAGTTCAAACCCCGAGTGAAGCCTCTTTGTTCCATTTACAGTGAAACTGAGACTCTCCAGGTCAATCAGAGGGGCGGACAGAACCGGGGAGGGACAGCTGTCTCTGCAGCTGCTGTCTGAACTGAATCTCCATTAAACAAACTAAAGTCTGAATGAGCGGAGCCGTTAACCGACTCTTCTTCTTCTTCAGACCTGCTGTCTTCAGGGAGTCTCCTCTGATGACACACGGCCCTTCAGGTGTATTCAGGTGTGTTGTTTCAGGTGTATTCAGGTGTGTTGTTTCAGGTGTATTCAGGTGTGTTGTTTCAGGTGTATTCAGGTGTGTTGTTTCAGGTGTATTCAGGTGTGTTGTACTTCCACTGAGAGGGAGACGAGCCGAGGAAGCGAAGATTTTCACAGTCATTTAACAGGTAAGGTCACCCAGGCTGAACCGGGGCTTCCTGCTGTGACTGATGGAAATCAATAAGAACAACCTTGATGAGTTCTTCTTTTAAACCACTCTGTCCTCGCCCTCGGTCTGTGAGTCTGCAGTCGAAGGGAAGTTTGGTGAGGATGTGAAACTCTGTCAGGCCGGGAGGTGACCATCCCAATGAAGCCCTGCTCTTAAAGAAAGTGAAAATAAAGAGGCTGTTCCTGAAATCATAAACTAATAATATTCACTCTGGTATCTCACAGTGTGAAGTTCCTGCTGTCAGACAGAGGGGGTCAGACGTGACGTAAGAGGAAAGATCATCCTGGTTTATTTTTCACACGTCTCCTACAGCTGTGATTTCTCCTGAATCTGAACTAACACACGTGCAGCTGAATGAATGTTTTCTACCTCTTTATCGAAAAGACGGACCTTTTTAAAGCTTAACATTAGCTTTACGAAACATCTGCTTATTCAGGAATGAAATAAAACTTTAAACAAATGTTCAAAAAGTTACCGTGGTGAATTAACTTCTAGATTTTGTGGAATAAACAGTAAATCCTCAAATAAAGGCGGGGTCTTTTATTTGGATTTACTGCCCCAGGTACTAGGTCCTCTATTTGAGGCAGGCCTTTATATCAAATATAAACCTGAACCCAGTCAAACTAGCATTGTGTAAATGACAAAGCACAAAGGGTTAACGCTCAGATTATCCATTTTGCATCTAATTGGGACAGATTACACGCAAACAAGCAAATAATCCAAACAACCTAATTCAAGTCAAAGTTTCTTCATAAAGCACCTTTAAAAGACAGCAGTCAAACAAATTGCTGTACATGGTATAAATAAAAGAAGTAAATAAATAGATAACAATAAAAAAACACAGTGGAATAAAATACAGACAGTAAAAGAATAAAAGCTACAGTGCCTATGATTCCTGTGTGGATCTTTAAAGATGATTTAAGAGACTCTGAGGTCTGATTCACCGATGCTTTATTTAGTTTTGGTGCAGAGAGTTAGCTGGTGACTCCACAAGAGGATGAGGACGATCCTTTCCATCCAACTCAACCTGGCGTGTTGTCAGGATGAGAGTGCCCAGAGCAGCTCTGAGCAGCAGAGAGTGGAGATGCTAACAGTTAGCATTAATCTGCTCATAATTAAACAAGACACCTCGTTAAGATCGCACAGAGACGGCCAACGTTCACTCCTAATCTGATGTAAAGGTCGTAACGATGGCGGTGCATGATCGTTGTGGTTGAATTTGCACCGCCCTATAATTGAAAGCCTTTCTTCACTCGTGAAGCTCGTGACCATCTGAAGTAGAAAGTGCTTGTTGGAAAGATTTTCCTGTTGTTGTGAAATGATCCTAAAGTTTTCTGTAAACCTACAGCAGTAATTCTCTGGAGCTCTCATTATCGAGCAGGTGGAGACGTTTTTCTGCAGAGATGTTCTAATTATTCTCACATATTAGAGAAATACATTCTCCAGCCTCACACTGTGGTTTACCGTGAAGTTTTATGTAACTCTGAGATTAAAAGTCCTGGAAAGTTTAAAGACCTCTGCGCCGCCGTCTTCGCTGCTGCTGCTGCTCTGTGGAGTTCAGGGTAAATTCTCACCAGACATTAACAAACTATCCAGCATGTTCATTATTTTCCCCCAAACCCTGCAATTTACTCTGATAGGAAAACAGTTTGTTCAAACGTAATGAGACTGTCGGAGTTTCTCCTAAATTTATGGAGATACATTCAAGATGATGTCTGAGTTTGTTACCAGCTCTCTGAATCTGCAGACATCCAGACATCACTATAATCCCTGTGTGTGTATACGTTCTGACCATAGACTGTATTCAGAATGGACGCTCTCTGTGTCCTCGCTGGGTGAAGCCACTCTGAGAACAGTGCCCCCTGGTGACAGGCTGCAGTATAGGTCATAAGTCACGCCTCCGCCAGCAAAGCTGATGAAGCTGTGGACAAACTTTAGAGATTTATTACACAGAATATAAATGTTTCTGTGATGTTGACATGTAGTTACTGTAACCCTCAACCTCCACCTTCATCCTGATCGTCTCCTAAAAGGTCGTATCCTCCGATCGTAGCTGATCGTAACCATTCAAGTTAACGTGTCAATTTACACCGACTTCTTTCCGTTCCTCTGCGGATCGCCGGACTCCTCAGCTGATCACAAGAGTTCTATTTTTTCTGGACGCCGGAGCATGGCGGATAAATTCAGCACAGATTAACCCGTGCTGGAAAGGAAGTCGGGCACAGACTTCAAAATAAAACATCCGGCTTCTTTTCAAAATAAAACACTCCGTGTTTCAGGAGGATCGTATTTCACACCATGCAAACGGGCGGAGACGAACAAGTGAAAGGTTTTTAGACGTCATTTCACCCCGATGACACCATGGATGAGGAGATGCTGATTCTAGAAGTCTAGAAGTAGATTTCCTCCTCTGGAAGGACACAATCTACTGCTTATATGTCTAACCTATGTGGTCAAAGACAACTTGTTATTGCGCAAGTGCATGTGAATCCTCGGGTTCTTGTGAGTTCTTGGGATTCATCTGCCACGAAATTGGCCTCACAAACACATTCGGTAGGAATAGGCATACGGCAAAAATCAGAGGCGTGCCGGATATGGTGGAAATCCCAGGTAAGACTGGTTTGAGCTCAAGTCCTCTTTTTTCTGTACAGCTCCATTTTTAAAAGTTATTAGGGGGTTCATGTTTTCTATGATTGACACCTGACACAGCCAATGGGAGGACAGAGATTGAGTAGATCACCCGGGAGATACGCTGTTTGAGCCGAGCGTCATCACGGCGACTCTCGGCGACTCTCCCGCCATATGCGTACAACGCTACTGCGCAATGTTGGTTTCAGGAAGTGGAGAAAAAACCTGAAATTACCGAGAACTTTTCAGCTGCAAATCTGTAAACTGGAGGAAGGAGGAACCAGGTTGTCCAGAGTAAATACAGTCGATGGTTCTGTCTCAATGTTTTATCAACAAGACAGGTTCTGTCAGCTGAAGAGCTGCAGCGAAGTTCCTGTTCAGGAGAAACCAGGACCAGGACCAGGACCAGGACCAGGGCTTTTCAAGGAACATGAGGTCTGCAGACCCGGAGCTGCATCCCTCTGTGTCTTCATCAGATAACTACAGCAGAGCAGAGGAAGCTGGGGGGGAATCCTACAGTATACACAGAGATGGAGATCACCACAGCAGAGGGGGAGGAGGATGACACAGCAACTTTCAAGGCAAGCAAGGGCGTGTGATCCGTGGCACGCCATAACCGAGTGTTGGATTAATTCACTCTGACTGTGACATGCTCGTCTGTCTGTGGGGAAAGACAAGCGCTGTATCCCCCTCTCTCTCTCCTTCCTCCCTCACATCCTCCCCCTTTCTTCATAACTTCCCTTCCACCTCCCCTGCCCCTCCTGCCGGTCATCCTCTGGAGCCGGGCTGGAGGCTGACGCTGTGGATTTCAGGCGACAGATGGGAGTTTGCAGCTGAGGCTGAGTTTCACGCTCGGCTGGATGAGCGCGGGCCGTCCGCTCTCAGTCACGTTTGAGTGTGTGATGATGATGTCATCTCTTTTCAGACTTGCGTGTCCGGGTTGAGCCGTGATGGGGGATGGTGGTGTGGTGGTGGTGGGGGAGTGGTTTGTGTGGAATAGGTCGCCTCTGCTGCTGCTGCTGCTATAGGATCATTACAGGAGACTCAGCCGGGCCTCGACATCTGCAACAGCTTTAAATTTATATAACAGAGTCCGTCTTTACGCAGGCCGGATTAAAAACACACAACATGGTCCCTCTACTCTTTAAAACTGAGGATGCAGCATCTATGATTTCTACTTCTATGTTGAAAGGACAAACGTCCCACGTCAGTCCAGTTGTCCTTTCCAAAAGAGTGTTAGATTTAGATTCATCAGACCTGAGGACAGTTCAGTGACTCCAACTACAGAGTCCTGATGCTTCTGACCCGGGATTTCCACCGCATCTGGAATGGCGGCTATTTTCACTGTCCACCAATTCCTACCGGATCCGTTTGAGAGGCGAATTTCGTGGCAGATTACAGACAGCAGGAATCACGAGAACTCACAAGAACTCAAGGATTGACGTGCAATCACGCGATAACAAATAGTCTTTAGCCACATAGGCTAACCATAAAAGGGGTAGATCATGTCCTTCCAGAGGAGGAAATCTACTTCTAGACTTCTAGAATCAGTATCTCCTCATCCATGGTGTCATGACACGTTAACTTGAACGGTTACGATCGGCAGATACGACCTTTTAGTAGCTGTTCGTGATGCGGTGGAAATTTGGGGTTAGATTTGATTCATTATGGACTACAGCGGGGTGCTGCAGCTCAAGGAAGAACATTTATGATCATTTCTTCATGGAAATACAATCAGACCGAGACGCTAAGACAGAAGAACTACGGCGTCTGTAAAATGATCAATATGATGATTATTACTTCAAGGAAATGATAAAGAAATGATCATAAATGTTCTTCCTTGAGCTGCAGCACCCCGCCTATATGTCCTGTAGATGAAGTTAGGTGCTGTTCTGAGCATTATTTGTGGCTATAGAGTGGCGTTTTGGTTGGGGGCGTGGCTCTCTGTATTTCTATCCTGCGGTCGTTACTAAAGTTGGTATAACTAGAGAAGCAAGCGGTCGACAACATTCATCTCTGGAGGGGGGGTCTAACTCGGTGTCCAGGATTTCCAAGAAGACTCTCAGACGGGGGTTTTGGGCCCATTATTGTTTCCTCTGTAGGAACTTTGTACCTGATTGGTTGTTTCCGTCTCTTGTGTGTCCGAGTAAAACTTGAATAAATTCGTATTTTGTGACTTGGACTGGTCTGGACTGCTCGAGGAGGATTGGACAGACTATCCTCTGAGTCCAGTCCCTGGATTGGGGTCCTTGACAGTTTTTGGCCCCAGATAATCTGATGACGTGACATTGAAAGATCCAGTCTTACAGCAGCCTTATTGGTGCTGTCAGGATCTGCTGATTTAAATCGGAGCGATTGAGGAGAAGTGTGAAACTAGGATCCTCAGGAGGAGTGTTTCTGTTGATCTCCTCTTTTGTTCGGGTGGAGAAGAGGAAACTGCTCCAGCTCTCTCTCTGCTTTAGGCTGAACTGTCTCTCTGATCTATATCCTCAGTGGTCGTTTCTATAGGAGTCCGCCGCCGCCCGCCTGCCTGTCGGTGCGTTTATTCAAACTTCCAACATACATACTGACGTACAGTATATCAACATGTCTGCAGGGAGGCTGCGTCTGCACAGCTCAGCAGACACAAACAACAATAGACGCTCGGTGTCCTCCGTCAGCAGCGTGCACGGCCTACGGCCTGTCAGTCAAACGTGGTTAAGTGACAGCTGCACTGATGCATCATGGGTATTCAAAGCCTGAGTCAGCCCTTGCCTCAGACCGTACAACCTGATCACATGTCAGAGACAGAGGTGGAGGAAAGGGAGGACACGGGTCTGTCGGGTCAGTTTCAGCGTCGAGCTGCAGAATTTTAAAACTCCTCAACAAACTGACGAACACGCCGAAGTTTTTAAAGTCAAAATAATGAAGAAATAGTTCATTTGTGTGATTCAACAACAAAAAGAAACATTCTCCTGGAGCCCAAAATTCAGATGAAGCTCCAGGATGAAATTTAATATGAAGTTTAATATGAATTCTAAACTGATGAAGCCAGCCTCTAGTGGGCACTTGGGGAACTGCAGTTTTCACATTTCCATTTATTAGTTTAGTTTAGCTAAGTCTGATCTGGTAAAGCTTAATTTAATGTAGTTTAGTTTAGTCTCGACTAGTTTAGTGAAGTTTAGTTGTGTTGGGTTCAGTGCAGGGAGTTCAGTCTAGTTTAGTTTAGTTTAGTCTAGTTTAGTTTAGTCTAGTCTAGTCTAGTCTAGTCTAGTTTAGTTTAGTCTAGTTTAGTTTAGTTTAGTTTAGTTTAGTCTAGTTTAGTCTAGTTTAGTTCAGTTTAGTTTGGTTTAGTTTAGTTCAGTTTAGTTTAGTCTAGTTTAGTCTAGTCTAGTCTAGTTTAGTTTAGTTTAGTTTAGTTCAGTTTAGTTTAGTTTAGTTTAGTTTAGTTTAGTTTAGTCTAGTTTAGTCTAGTCTAGTCTGGTCTAGTCTAGTTTAGTCTAGTTTAGTTTAGTTTAGTTTAGTTTAGTTTAGTTTAGTCTAGTCTAGTTTAGTCTAGTTTAGTTTAGTTTAGTTTAGTCTAGTTTAGTCTAGTTTAGTTCAGTTTAGTTTGGTTTAGTTTAGTCTAGTTTAGTCTAGTCTAGTCTAGTCTAGTTTAGTTTAGTCTAATCTAGTTTAGTTTAGTTTAGTTCAGTTTAGTTTAGTTTAGTTTAGTTTAGTTTAGTCTAGTTTAGTTTAGTTTAGTCTAGTTCAGTTTAGTTTAGTTTAGTTACATTTAGTTTGGTTAAGTTAAGTTTAGTTTAGCTTAGCTTAGTTTTGTTTTACGTTTCGTCTAGTTTGATTAAGTTTAGTGTAGTGTGGTTTCATTTAATTAAGTTCAGTTTTAGATTAGTTCTAGTCTAGTTTAGCCTAGTCTAATTTAGTCTAGTTTACTCTAGTTTGGTCTAGTTTGGTGAAGTTAAGTTTAGATTAGTTAAGCTTGGTTTATTTGAATTTGTGTCTCTTTAAAATAAGGTAAGCTAAGTGTGGTTTCATTAAATTTTGTTCAGTTTTAGTTTAGTTCTAGTCCAGTTTAGTTTAAACAAGTGTAGTTGAGATAACCTGAGTTGTGTTTGATTTAGTTTAATTTTGTTTTAATGAGATTCGTTTGGTTAGTAGTAGTTCAGGTTTGTTAATCTCACTTCAGTTTTAGTTTAGTCACTGTTAGTCAAGTTTATTTTAGATTTTTTAAAGAAATGTTTAAAGTTTTCCTCCTCTGAGTATCTGTCTTTCAGCGCTCTCACATTTGTTTAATCCTCAGCAGAAACCTTTTAATTTTATTTTGATGAAGAAAGTCTTTAAAGCTGAGCTCAGGAAGATTTGATGTGAAGCAACAGGAGATGACGCAGCATCTCCCCACCCCGCTCATCTTCATGCTGCTGCACGTTAAAGAGTTTGAAGCTGGTATGAAAGGAGTTTGGAGAGCGCGGGTCGACCTTTCAGGAAGGAGTAAATGATTTTATCTTTACGTCAGTTAATGTCTCTGGAGGAGGAAGGAGAGAAAGGCTGTTAATCAGCCTTAAAGTAAGTCTGCTCAAACTGCCGACTATGATGAAGAAAATACTCCTTAAATTTCTTTATTTCATGTAATTTTTCATGCTGATAAAAAGGCTGAAACAAAGAAGAGAGTCTGCAGAAGTTTTCTCAGGAGAATAAAAAACATTTCCTCCTCTGCTCCCTGAGGGGTTTCATCATTTAAAAGGAAACTGCACAACAAGAGAAGAAACGGCCTGTTTGTGTTTGTTTTACCCCGCAGCGTTTCAGATTTATTCAACAAATCATCCACGGCTTAGACCTGCAAAGACTCAGTATGTTTCCTGTCAGTGATTCAGAGCCGTGGTGGTTTGTACTCCATTAAAACTGGTTTCTTCTGGTTGGAGCTGTGAAGCAGACCAGGACATGTCTTGTTGCAGAAGTTATCTGCCAAGTATGCTGGGAGAAAAAGCAAATTACAAGATTTAAGATTTTGTCAGGACTTTGCTGCTCCAGGAGGGAAACTAAAAACTCCATTAAAGCTGCTGCAGGGAACTTTTGTTGTATATTGATTTTGGCGCCCCCTGTGGGCAAAGATGTGCATCTTAGAACCTTACTGAACTTGTCCTGGACAGAAACAATACAGTTCTCAGAGAAAACCTCATCCTGCTCTGTTTGAACAGTCAAACGTCTCACTTATTCACAGTTGGAAATCTGTCTCTGCAGCCTGCTGTCAACACTCTGGTTTCATGGCTCATAACCGCTCCGTGTTTGTGAAGGTTTTTATCGTCTGTTTGTGTTTTTGTCGGTGATAAAGAGGCGTCAGTATCATTTTCACACTGCTGCAGTAAAGCTTTATAAAGACATGTACGTGTTTGAACTTCTCTGTGAATGATTTCCGCACCAACCCTGGATGTTCATCTCTGATCATGAGAACTTATTTCATCGGAGTGTCCCACTGTGCCTCATTTTTTCTGTGTAACTGACTTATTGTTTTGTTTTTGCTGCAAAAGGAAGTGTGTGCACGTTTGTGGTGAAAGCTCAGGAAAAAGGTCTTGCAGGTGGAGTCTCATGCCGGTTTACAGGACGACTGTTTCCAAACCTGAGAGTGAAACAAGAGTTTGAACTCTGGAAAGTTCTCCAAGTTCTCGAGTCAGGATTTCAAAAGCAGCTGTGAGTTTAAACGTGTCTCAATCTGAAACAGGAAAGTGAGACAAAGATGAGAGGAAGAGGAGAAAGAGGGATGAAGAGGAAGATTTCTGATGTCAGTGTGAGTGTGCAGATCTCCTCAGTAATCGGCTGCATGTCCGGTCCTGTTTAAACCCTGAACCAGGAGCTGAAGGTCTCCTCCCAACAGCTCAGCTGCTGGCTCTGCTCGTGCTGCCTTCACTGAACGTGGGAATAACCCATTCAGCCACTTGTTGCAACACAAGGACACACTGAGTAATTCAACCTTTCTGCTTACAGTGATTTTTTTTATTTTTGTATTTTCTGATAAGATAGAGATGCCTTTTTTTTTTCTTTGTGAAAACTTGACAAGAGTTTTTGGTAGTTAAACCAAAATACATGAAATTATTGATTGAGAACAAACATCAGAGACACACACCTGAGTTTACGTTTTATATATACTCTTCCTATATTCCCTTGTTTTACGGTTTGGTAAAACATGATCCTCTTTCTTAAAAATGTGAGTTTTAGTTTCTCGTTGGGGAAATAAAATGTTGCAGAAACATATTTTAACTTTTAACACAATGATGCACTTTAACGTGGTGAGATCGTGTAACCGTGTTGTCCCTGGTGCTGCCTGCTTCTGTCAAGTGTGTGATAAAAAAGCAGAATTAATCAACTGATCAGGAAATCCGGCTCCATAATCGATCCCTGTTTGGACTGGACAGCATCCAGCTCTCAGTAGAGTCATAAATGCTCTCAGAATAGAAGTGTATCCTGAAATCACTGAATCCACAGGTGATTCAGGTGAGCAGCTTCAGTCTGAGGGAGATTCTTACAGAAAGTCTGAACATCCATCATCAGACTGTTTCATGATCAGGTAGTTCAATAAAAACGCACACGAGCCGTTTCTGTGCAGAATTGCATATATATATTTGTATTATTAAAGTATTAAATAATTTGTATTATTAAGGTATTTCTGATTCTAATTCTGATAAATGATCATTGACTCTATAATCATCATTTAAGTCTAATTTTTTTTAAAGATATTTAGATTTCTGCACAATTGTAAAAGTTTGCATATTGATTATTACTTCTATACTTTTATTGTATTGTATTATATTGTATTGAGAATTAATCGTTTCTTAGAACATTTAGGCATACGTATCCACTGCAGGCTTCAAACTATAACGATTTATTGTCCCTTTTCTTTTCTTTTTTTTTTTTAAACATTTTGTTGATATGATTAAAATTACATGAGTGGATGGAAAAAGAGCCGAGCCGCACATAATAATAATAATAATAATAATAATAATAATAATAATAATAATAATAATAATAATAATAATAATAATAATAATGATTATACATTTTTTTGTAGTGCCCTTTACATCAAGAGACCTCAAACATCTTAAAAGCAAATAAGATAAGGAGCTTTTTTTAAAAGAATCTATGAGGAGGGAACAAAAGTTCTGCCAAAAAGGAAAGTTTAAAGATTAAAATAAGGTAATAAAACCCTCTGAAAAGTGAGATCTCTGTAATGTCGGAGTGTGGTTCGGTCCGTGAACGCCTCTCGCCGCTCCGCTGCCATGTTGTTGTTTTATTCTCGGGACTGAGCGGCGTTCACGGTCCAGCTGTCCCTCTCTGCTGCCGCTGCTGCCTGTGGACTCTACCGCCGTCTCTGAGGAAGGAGACTCCACTTTACGGACATTTTCTGGATTAACACAGAGCTCCAAGTCACTGCTAAAGTTCCCGGACCTGGAGAGGAGCCGTCGGGTTAGTGGTTTTACTGGTTTTGAAAGTTGCCCAGGCTGGTTCTCTCTCACTAACTGGGCTGGTGCTACTTTTTCCCATTCATGCTAACAGACGATAGCAGGAGAACTTACCGCACTCAAACCTCTTCTTTTACTTGTATAAAATAATAATGTGAAAGACTGGACGGTATTATTGGTGTAGATTAAACGGTTAGAGTTCATATTAGAGTGATTTTAGGGTGGAGTAGCTTTGAATAAACGGTGTTTATAGATGGAAGCTAACTTCGGAGCTAGCATGCTAACTTTTCCCATTGGCAACAGTTTGACAGAATCAGCGTGAAAAACTTTAAAACTGTCTGAGCGACTTTAGGGGTAAAAAAACAGAGATATAAGATAATCAGAGGGAAGTTTCTGTCCTAGATTCAGAGAAAAACCCTGAGGTCAGTGTGGTTTTGAGGTCAGGGCGGTTTACTGATCAATCACTCAGCTGTCAATTTTATCGACTTAAAACCAACTTTTAACTAAAATCTACTCATCAAACCTTACAAAAAGAGCAGATTTACGTCCTTTCTTTAGTTATATCATTTTAAGAGACATACTTTTAATCTATAATAAGAAAAAACCTGGTAACAGTGACAAATAAACAGGCAGAAACCTTCAGCAGGACCAGACTCACAGTAAACAGACAGTTTTAGAGGGTTTAACAGGTGAGATAGAGAGAGAGGACACTATTATAATAATAATAATACAGGTCAAAAGTCTTTGTAAAAGAAAACACTTAAACATGTTAAAACACTAACAGTTAAACCAAGGGAAATAAAAAGAGTAAAAGCAGACAACTTAAATATTACAGATATTAAACGGAAGTGTAAAAACACAGAGCAGATTTGTATCATAGAAATTAAGATGAACATTAAAATGATTTGTTAAAGTAATTTCATAAAAACCAGTGAGTCTTTGACCTGGATCTAAAAGTACTACAAGTTTCAGTAGAGCAGATATTTTCTCTTTGTTTCAGTTATTTATTGTGATCAGCTCAAGTCTGATAGTCGACAGATCTGTTATCAGAGAATAAGAGGAGGACAGAAGGAGTTACAACTGTTGGAGTCAGGAAGCTCCAAGGTTCACATTTAAAACTGTAGTTATGGTAATAAAAGTATAATAGTTTGTAATAAATCAGGCAGGTCCACAGCAGCAGGAGACAAAGGTCTTCATCAGCTCCCCTAAAGTTACATGTCTGCTGCCTTTAATGGTCCACGAAGGTTTAAAGTCAGTGATAATGTGTCGGTAATAACTACAGACTGAGACACAGACTGAGCAGAAACGTCCTGACTTTAGATTTAAAGTCCAGTATGAAATTATTCAAACCTGCAGTTCCTCAAATGTCCACTAGAGGCTTGCTCAAACAGCGCTGGTAACCACATAGGCACCTATTGAAGAAAGCTCATCTCTACAGTAAGATTAAACATGTTTAAGTACAGTGTTGGTGACAGCTCTGACCTGTTTCTACTCACTGAACCGAGTTTTAATTTGTGTTTAACTCGCTGGTTATAAAGACAGCAGAGGGCCAAGTTTTGGCCAATCAGAGGCTCAGTTTTGATTGACAGGTGGACACGCTGTAGCTGGTAGCAAAGAGGCCAAAGGCTCGCCTTAGCGGTCTGACTCACTGAGAGTTTGAATGAGTCAGCGTTTCTGGTGTGGCGTCCATGAAGTGATAGTCTTTAAAACGGTGATTCAGGAGCTGAGGAGTGAAGGAGGCTTTTTCAGAGTTTTACAGAAGGTCAGTGAGGAAGGAATCAGTGATATCAGTCACTCTAACTCCCAGACCACTTTCAGAGACTTTCAGAGACCACAAACCAGCCTGCAGTCTGGGGTAATAAGGTACCATGAGCTGAGTCCAGTCCTGTGCTACAGATTTAGACCAGCTGAGGAGTCCTAAAGACTCAGAGAACAGGGAGCTGCAATAATCTCACACTGAGGTGACAAATTCATGGACTGGTTTTCCTGGATCACGTCAGAGAAGTGTTCCTCAGCTTGTGCAACAACGTCTCAAAGTCTTCGTGGTGCTAACTTTGGCTTCACCCCGCCCACCTGTCAGTCCCCGTTCAGGTGATCTGTCAGGTGTTGGTAGTAGAAGTGGACGCGTCATCCTGCCTCCGGGGAAAGTTTGAGGAAGTTTCTTCTCTCCTCTTGATTCAGGTTTTTAGAGCGGTTATAAAAAGGTTAAACATCCTCCTGTCGTCCCTCATGAATGGAGAGTATTTGTGCCTCCGATCGAGGTCAAGCTTCATTCACAGGTATTTCTGTCTGCTGGTTCTAATCTTATTATCCATTCATATCCAATTAACACTCCGCTAAAGCCAAGAAAGGGATCATCAACCTGTGCGCAGATTTAACACCCGCCTCTCTTTTTCTATTTCTGCTGAATTTCCTCAAAAACCGGTCCGACCCAAACCTGAAGTTCTCCGCTCCAGGTACAGGAAACAGACACTTTCCATTTCCTGCCTCGAACCTGAGCAGCAGGTAACGTTATCACGCCGTTCATCAGGTATTTAATCTGCTTAAAGAGACGGCGAGTTTCCGTCTGTCGTTCCCCTCTTTGTGTCTCGGCGTGGTTGAACTCGTTCTGCCAGAGCCAAGGAGGGCGAGGCGGAGACATTTCAGCTACCTGGCAGGTAATCCCCCCTCCCCCCTTAGACTCACCCACTTTCACTTTCCAACACGGGAAACCTGATGTGTAATCCAACAGCCAGCGTGTAATCCAACATGGCTCTGTTTATAAATGGATGCAGATTACGAGAGGAGAGCAGGTTGCTTCACGGTAGGTACACAGGTAGATTAGACGGGTAGATTAGACGGGTAGATTAGACGGGTAATGAGCGCCTGTTTTAACGCATCTGCAGGAGAGGAGCTGAGATTTGACTGGAAGTGATTTTAACTGAGAGGAGACATGCACTTAAGGTCATTTTAAAGTATTTTAAGTGAATTTTAAGAAGTGACTGTGAATGTGAAATGTTGTAGGTACAGTCAGCGTCTACTTTCAGCTTCTCATTTTCATTTCTGGACACATTTAGCCAAAACTATTACTCAACTCACTCTGTTCTCACTTCTCTTTTTCTGATGTGGCCTCAGCAGATGTGACGCGTCCGTCCGTCCGTCTGTCGGTGTCTTCTTCTCACTGCTGTTTCTCTTTATAGAACAGAGACAGCAGTGTGTATTTTTGTGCAAAGGTAATGCACAGTTATGCTCTCGCTGTATGCGTGCTAAATTCTCTCAGCCCATGAAAGAGACGTGTTCTGCGGAGACTCGCTGCTGTGAGTTTCTGCTGCAGTTGGATGTTCATCAGAGAATCATTTTCCGCTGCATCTGTCTGTCTCTGCTCCATGCAAATCAACACAAATGATCCTTTTAGTATTCCTGCATTTGCTCTTCTTTTGGTCTGATCACGTCCTCTGTGAATAATAAGGTGTCAGGGTAACGGAGACTATTATTGATATTTGATCATCGCTGCAGAGGATGTTTGTGTTTTTAATCCCATATGAATCGATCAGTTCTGTAAATTGTGAGTAAAATCTGGACTTCAGAACACGCAGAGGTGCTCTGATGATGTTAGTCCGGTCTGGATCCACATGATCGGAGTCACTGGGGTTATAATCTGTTAAAGAAAGTCTCTGTACCTTTTCTGTTTAAAAACCATGGAGGCTGGTTTCTGGGTGATCAATTCACCACACAGTATGGAGACCTGTTTGTAAAAACAGCAAACTAAAGTCCGTCCAAAGATCCAGATGTGGAGGATTGATTATCTGCCTGGATGACCTGCTCTGCAGCCTGCAGATGACACAGATGATGACACTCCTGTTATAATTCTTCAAGTGTGCAGGCGTGAGGGGAGCCACGCTGCATATTTACTCAGACTTAAAGAGAGAGGGGGGCTTTCTGTGATGCTGTTTGGCACTCACTAGATCACCTATGGTACGTACAATATCAACTACCTTATTGTGTGGAAGCCTGTCGACTTAAAGGGATATTCCGTTAAATCAAGTTAGGGTCAAACCCACCATAACACCGAGTTAGACCCCCCCTCCAGAGATGAATGTTACCGACCGCTTGCTTCTCTAGTTATACCAACTTTAGTAACGACCGCAGGATAGAAATACAGAGAGCCACGCCCCCAACCAAAACGCCACTCTATAGCCACAGATAATGCTCAGAACAGCACCTAACTTCATCAACAGGACATATGGGGTCACAGACATAGTACTAGACACCAAACATCTTTTTAACTTTGACTCATTTCTTTAGCAAAGAGACTAAACACAACTCACCTACTCTCTTCCAGCAGACGCTTGTTTGTAGAGAGACCTCAGGCCAGTCCATTACAGACTACAGCGGGGTGCCGCAGCTCAAGGAAGAACATTTATGATCATTACTTCATGGAAATACAATCAGACCGAGACGCTAAGACAGAAGAACTACCGCGTCTGTAAAATTATTAATATGGTGATTATTACTTCAAGGAAATGATAAAGAAATGATCATAAATGTTCTTCCTTGAGCTGCGGCACCCCGCTGTAGTCCATAATGGACTGGCCTGAGGTCTCTCTACAAACAAGCGTCTGCTGGAAGAGAGTAGGTGAGTTGTGTTTAGTCTCTTTGCTAAAGAAATGAGTCAAAGTTAAAAAGATGTTTGGTGTCTAGTACTATGTCTGTGACCCTATATGTCCTGTTGATGAAGTTAGGTGCTGTTCTGAGCATTATTTGTGGCTATAGAGTGGCGTTTTGGTTGGGGGCGTGTCTCTCTGTATTTCTATCCTGCGGTCGTTACTAAAGTTGGTGTAACTAGAGAATCAAGCGGTCGACAACATTCATCTCTGGAGGGGGGGTCTAACTCGGTGTGTTTGACCCTAACTTGATTTTACGCCAGAATATCCCTTTAAAAATGGTGGAATATCCCTTTAATGTGGCATCAAGTCACAAACTCTACACATGTGTCATTAAAGCTTCTATGAGGAACTTTCAGTTCGTATTGATTTTGGCTGACTGGACTGGACTTTGAGTCTGATCAGCTGATAAGTTTTTGGACTCTTCCTGGAGGCGTTTGTTTTGACTCATAAATCATTAGAAAACAGACAGAGAGAGTTAACATGACAGGCATTAATAATCTGCTCTTCTCTCCTGGACAGATCTGAGTTTTGATCCTGCTGTTGTTTTCTTCGTCTCTGTTTGTATTGATCAGGAGGGGGCGAGCTCTTCTCCGTTTCTAAAACAGCTGTATTTTTGTCCTGCTAAAGTCAGTGAGAAATGTGAGAGCGGAGCCAAACCCCGTGTCCAGCTTTCTGCTACCTGTTGATTTTCTTTGCGTTGGAAAGGCTCAAAGGTTGGTCTGCTGCACACATGAGTTCAGCTGAATGAGGGAAACAGATGGAGGCCTGTTCACAGCACATTCCTCTCACACTCCATCCTGTCTGACCCGCTTTTTACGCCCGTCCACGCTCTGCTACAAGCTGTGCCGCTGCAGGTTGAAAGTGAGTTTTTACAGTAATAACACACCAAGCGCTGAGCTTGAATTTTTACTGCTCACTGAGCCAGAGAGACTCAAGAACGCTGCAGCCTGATTGGTTGGTGGGATTAACCCTCAGCGAATGTTAAACGACATATTTCTGAAAACCAGTAATCCTCATCACGACTCTCGGAGGATCTGAAACCTGCGAGCGTTTACTCGCTGTCATGTGACGGTGAAACTATAACTCTCTCTGTTGTTGTTCATTTGTCACGTGATCATTCAGTTCATCTAATTTAATGTTTAATCATCGTGTCATATTAAAACAACACTGACTTCAGGCTGTGAAGGTGCATCAGTATCTCTGGAGAGTGTGGGACAGTTTGGATGAGGTGATGGGTGTGTTTATTTTGAGTGAATGAATGTATTGCAATAATGACATTGTGATAACCTTAAATTAATTATTGATTGATTGATTGACTGGCGAGCCGCAGAGGAGCAGAAAGAAGTCGGTGTAAATTGACACGTTAACTTGAATGGTTACGATCAGCTACGATCGGAGGATACGACCTTTTAGGAGACGATCAGGATGAAGGTGGAGGTCGGAGGTTAATCTGTGAGGAGGACTGAAGGCTGGTGTTGTCGCTGTGATTTAAAAACAACATTCAGACCGCTCACATGCAGACTGAAGTCACAGTCATAGATCCAGGGCTCTGTGATCTTTGTTTGGGATCGTTAAATGAATTATGATTAATTTTGTTGTGATAAGACAGTCAGAGAGCTTGAATTAAATTCATGTGTGATGGACGAAGAACGGAGTTAAAGTTTTAGTTTCATGAAAAGAAGATGAGGATGTCTTCTGAAATGAAGAAGGTTAAAGGTGTTTTTCACTCCTTATGAAGTGTCTTCACGTCTCCCTCAGATTTCATTAAAGTGTTGCGTTGGCAGTTCTTGGTACATGTGGTGTTTCCAAACTGATTTAGTAACGGTCTTCAGGCTCCTCCCCTCTTGCGCGTCTGAACTCGCCGTGCGTCAGTCCTCCAGATCTTTCCGCCTCCCACTCTTGATCTGTTTGAACCTGCAGGAGGTGAAACCCTCTCTGCAGAAGTGAGACCTGAGCCGACTAAACTGACTCCAACTTTCCCAGGCTGAACCCAAATCACAGCAAAACCAAACACACCGATACGACCGCCAGATATCTGAGCGAGCCGGCCGCCGTCCTCTCGACACACTCTGTCGTAACGCTTCAGAGAAAGTTTGAGTGCAAAGGGTTTTTATTCTGGCAGAGCAGCTTTGACCCACATCTCTGCAGCTCATGTCCTAATTTTACTGTTTTTTTAAAGAGGTCAGAGGTCAGAGAGAAGGTCTTCACTTTGTTTCTCAGTCAGCTTTGTTATTCTTTTAAAGTCGGTAAAGTCGGTTTTATCAGAGCGGTGGACAGAAAAGTTCAGAAGCAGGATGAGCTTCCTGTGACCTTTAACTCAAACAAGTGTGAAAACTTCAGTCAGAAGAACCTCCACACGACTCTGAGGAGGTGACAACTAAACAAAGTCTCAAACAATCATCATCATCCTCGGGGAAACAAGAACCAGGAGAGGTTTCTCTCAGGGTTCGACAGGAGAAGCTGCTGCGTCCAGCTGTCCACCGTTTCTGTATTTTAGGGGTTTAGGAGTTTACTGGACGGGGTTGTGTGTGTTTTAGGGTGGACTTCATAAAGCTGAGATTCACTGACTGGGAAGGTTACAGAGGGATGTGTTTCTGTCTGTCGCTGAGGCGGAGACGCTCCCACGTTTTCTTTTTCATGTCGGATCATTAAAATAAATCAGAAAACTTCTCTGAGTCGTTCATGTGTCACTGTAGACTGACATCCGTGCAGGACACATTATATTCTGATGATGATGATGATGATGATGGTGACGGAGAGGTCCAGACCTGGCCTGGACCCCTCAGAGAGTCTCGGTGTCGGTGTGATTAAACGGGATAATTAGGACGTTTTCTGCGGCTCAGAATGATCCCAGACTGCTGCTGCTGCTCTCCTCCTCATTTTCCCTCTTTACATGCAGGGCCAGAGTGACGGGTAACCATGGTAACGTGAATGCTCTCTCTGTCATTAAGCTTCCTGACCCTCTAATAACCCAAACTGAGATCCTGGTGTTTGTAAAAGCGGTTATTTCTTCACTGTATTTCCATGAATGTATGTCGTTTGTCTCCTTTAGTGAATCTACACAGAATATATGAAGGAAGAAAAAGAGCCTTTATTTAGGTCAGAAACACACAGACTTATAACGTCCATGTGTCCAAATGTAATTAGAATAAATTTATTTATTAGAGATTTAAAACTGTCACAGATGAACTCTGAAGAAAAGGACACAGTTATTAGACATAATATATCAGAGGACTGTAGAATAAAGAAACTATTGGGCTCCATTAAAGCCATAATAAGAGAGTAAAATTCAGTTATAAAAACAACAGACTTTGACAGTTTGTGTCAAAACAAAAACAAGCAGAAAAAAAAAGGTTAAAAACCCCAAAATTCACCCAAACAAACAACATAAAGAGGCTTTGACAAACAGGAGCCTCATAAGAAACACAATAATAATGATAATAATAATAATAATAATAATAACAATGATAATAATAATAACAGAGAATAATGTAAATCAGTCCTGAAGGGAAACACTTAGATCTGATCACAGCAGATGTTATCACTGATCTATTATTATTATGATGATCAGTTTCTCTCTCTAAAAGCCCGTCCTGAAAACACAGACCTGACATTCGATAATAAAGGAGCTCAGACAGAGTGAATGAAACTGACGCCTCAGTCGTCTCACTCTGTTATTACTCTGATTACAGCCTCGTCCACGCCTCACGGTGGTTTTTTATCAGTTTCAGAGACGAGTGTTTGTGGGAGTGGATTCAGCTGTGACGAGTTCACTCTGTGGGGGAACAGAAACCGGTCCCTGAGGGTCCGAGGGGAAAATCTGGTCCTGTAGTTTTCAGTTATCAGATCTCAGATGAATCTGGCGGGGAAAGACCTCTCTGCTCTTTAAAAGTGGAGTGGGTTTTCTCCGTCTGTGTGACCTTATCTCACAATGATTATTTCTAACTTCCTCTTTAAGTGGCACTCTCACTGAAGTATTGACTCATAAAGCACTTTGATTCTCTGTACTTCCCTTTACCTCGGCTCTCTGCAGACTTGAGCGTGACCTGACCCACTTCTCTGTTATTTGGTCTTCAGAATAAAAACATTAACCTTGAAATGAAGCAGCAGTTACTCTGATTTATTCATTCCCATCCCTGTAATGGAGCTGCTGTTGACCAGAGATGGGAATAGATGACAGGTGTAGGTACCAGATGTGATCGGGCTAACAGGTCGGCCTATTGATGACATCACACTCTATGATTGGCTGGAAGTTGGTTCAGATGTCATAGAAGATTGTGGTTGGTCCGGACATTACAGATGTGATTTTTCACCATATTAGGTTTCATGGGATTGTAGTTCTTTGAAGGAAACATGGACGAATTTTACTAAGTAATCTATCGCTGATTATCAGAGAGGATTTACGACAGTCAGATTACCGCCTCTTTCAGGAAATAAAAGCAAAACGATCTATTGATAAACTGAGATCCAGCGTACATTTGTTTTTTCTTTTTCCTTTAGAAAAGTGAACATATATAATTAAAACCATCTAAAAAAGACCGTACAGTGAGTTTTAATTCTCTGTTTTATGTGGAGAGAAAGTTTTGAAGTCGATTAAACGAACAAACAGAAATAAAGGTGAAAACTTGAGAAGAGGAGGATCATCCTTTTTTCAGATATCACAGGAGCTTCTTGTCCTTGAAGGCCACCGTAGCTTCAGTGAAGAGAGCGTTTTATCTGACGGTTAGATATCTGTAAAAGTCCGTTCAGAACAGAATGAGTTGGAAACTTGGATGACGAAGTGTTGATGATGAAAACAGTTTGTCATCCGTTGAGGAAATGTGTTCACACCAGGTCGTGTAAATCCTTCCTGCTGATCAGGAGGCGCCGCGTTTCCAGTGAGTGAAAACAGACGGAGCTGTGAGCGAGAGAGAGAGAGAGAGAGTGAGAGAGAGAGAGAGAGAGAGAGAGAGAGAGAGAGAGAGAGAGAGAGAGAGAGAGAGAGAGAGAGAGAGAGAGAGAGAGCAGCTGCTGACGCTTCAGAGGGAGAAAAACCAACAAACTCACAAACAACAGACTGAGTTAAAAAAACATTTTAATCAGAAATTCACTCCAAGATGGTCGGAGGTCTCTGTTAGCAGTTTGACTTCAGTGAATTTTTCTGAGTTAATGAGCCGGAGACTGATGATGTTGTGGTTTAAAGTAAAGAGATAAGGGCTCATCAAGTCCAAGTCTTCATGTGACTCGATTCGACGGGTTCTGAATTCATCAAGTAGGTGGAGAGGATAAATCCGATCTGACCTGCTGGTTTTTGTCCGCTGAGGTTTTTGTCCTCCTTTCAGACACAATATCTCAGGAATCTGCAGAGGAAATGTCTTTAAACTCGGCTCTGAATCGAGGATGAACTGATGTTTATCAGAGGTTAAAGGTCAATCCCACTGTTCCAATATTTCAGTTTCGCCTGGAGGACATTTTTATTTACATTTGGATTTTTTTCCTGACCACCTGAGATAAACGTTGGTGGAGAATCTCCTCTCCTGTTTGAAGCCGTTTACATATTTCTGAACAGTGTCAGTAACGTGATCGTCGGCATGGTTACGGAAACTGTAAACTGGAGTGTTGGCAGAGCTCTGAGTTTGATAGTTTGCTGTTCTTATGGCCTAGATCACGTAACAACACACAGACCTGAAGAAGTATTTTAATGTTTTTATTTTAATGTTTTTATTTTAATGTTCCCTCTTTGATTTCACCTGCTCACATCAGTCTTAGGAGTCTCCTTCATACCGTCTTTCTAAGACGGAGGTTAAAGTTCAGGTCGTCCTGGTGATGAGTCCAGCTCCTCTCCGAGTGGGTTTTTATCTTTGTGTGTCGCTCAGATCAGCTTCGATCCTCAAACCTCTCCTTCAGCTGATGTTTGTGTCGTATCAGGTTCAGTTTGATTAAGGATTGAAGCTGAAAGCGTCATGGAAAATTACCGCCACCACACGCTGCAGGAACGCTTTTCTACACGAGGAAAAGTCAGACGTTGTTTGTAATAGCAGATGTTGGTTGATAATGGTGTTATCAAAGCGCACTGACACACTGACTGTGAATCTAACGGTGGATCTGTAAATCCTGCTGTTATCCAGGGTCAACCTTCAGCCGGCGCACAATACTGGGCCAATAATGAGGGGCGGATATTCTTATTTTACTGACCTGAGTCGATATTTGACCTTTGGACTCGTGTTTACAGAGAATAATATGGAAGTCAATCTGTGACAATTTGAATTTTTTTGCATCAGAATCAGACTTTGGATTTCAAAACCATCGAATTACAAGCACACACTTTTTTTTCTGACACTAATTTTTTTCACAGTGATGAAATAAATTCAGTGTAAAAAACAAAGTTTTCTCAAAATATTCGTTTAGTGAAAATTTGACTCTAAAAAATACTAGATACTAAAAAAAAAAAATACTTCAGTGTAAAAGAGACCGACTGTCTTTTGTCTGGACGATGGATGATTGAGTCAGGAATCGATTTTTCTCCCTGGTTACCCGGATGTTGAGTCGGTCTCTTTTACACTGAATTATTTAACTCTTACATTTTTTTTAGGTTGAGGATAAAAGAGTTTTTTCTTTTTATAAAGTCAAATTTTTACTAAACAAACATTTTTGAGAGACATTTTTTTACACTGAATTTATTTCATCACTGTGAAAAAATTAGTGTCAGGAATAAAAATACATGCTTGAAATTCAATGGTTTTGAAATTCAAAGTCTGATTTTGATGCAAAAAAAACATTCATCTTTAGAAATTCAAAATCAGAATCAGATGGCACAGATTTACTTCCATAGAATGGGAGGCTCATTAGTGTCTTTAATGTGAATATTTTCATTTTCTGATGTATTTTCATGTTAGACAGTTTAACAGGCTGTATTTTTATCTTTTTTTTAGATTGTCAGTTGATGCACGATGATTGATTTTTGCCAATATGCTTAATTTTTAAACTCATTTTAGCCACTATGATACTGATACAAACCTTTTTCATATCTGTATCTGCAGAAATCTTCATATCCACTGAAACCGATACTGATCTCTTTAAGTTTCTATCTGCTCAGACTGATTACATGTCAATATATGATATATGAGTTTCCTGTTCGGCTTTTATTTTGAAAGGGTGTTGAAGGTACTTCTGAATGTGGATTAAAAGAGCGGACAGAACAATGAGCAGTAAAAATGTGAGATACAGCTCTTACAGGGATCAGCTGATATTGTTTATTCAAGGCTGATACCAACATGAGATCAGATGAAGAGCAGCTGTTTTCAATATTAACTTGAGCTGTTGGAGGTAAAACTCCCACAGATGATCATTCAGGGGGAGAACGAAGCCGAAGTTTTTCTCTCCGAATAATCGGCTTTAGTTCGTCTGTTTTCTGATGCTATTCCAGGTGAGAACATCGGTTCAGTTTTCGCACCGTCACCTGAAAGAGCAGATTAACCTCCAATCCTTTTATCTGTGCTCACACCCAGTCGGCCGAGTCGGTGTAATCCTGTGTGTTTACAGACAGGATGTTGTTAAAACACGGCAGCGGGGCAGGAAGTCCAGGTCACACTGATAAGAGGCTGAATATCCAGGACAGGTGGAAAGTACCTGGATCAGGAAAAGGGAGTTAATCCTGTCACAGCTTTAGAAAAACCCTCGCTGTGAAGAGACGCATCTCCAGGAACGTTCTGCAGACCAAACAGACAAACAAACAAACAGACAAACAAACAAACAGACAAACAAACAAACAGACAAACAAACAAACAAACAGACAAACAGACAAACAAACAAACAAACAAACAAACAAACAGACAAGACAGACAAACAAACAAACAAACAGACAAACAAACAAACAAACAAACAAACAAACAAACAAACAAACAGACAAACAAACAAACAAACAAACAGACAAACAATCAAACAAACAAACAAACAAACAGACAAACAATCAAACAAACAAACAAACAGACCAACAAACAAACAGACAAACAGACAAACAGACAAACAAACAAACAGACAAACAAACAGACCAACAAACAAACAAACAGACAAACAGACAAACAGACAAACAAACAAACAGACAAACAAACAGACAAACAAACAAACAAACAGACAAACAGACAAACAATCAAACAAACAAACAAACAAACAAACAAACAGACAAACAATCAAACAAACAAACAAACAGACAAACAATCAAACAAACAAAGAAACAGACCAACAAACAAACAGACAAACAGACAAACAAACAAACAGACAAACAAACAGACCAACAAACAGACAAACAGACAAACAAACAAACAGACAAACAAACAGACAAACAGACAAACAAACAAACAAACAGACAAACAGACAAACAATCAAACAAACAAACAAACAAACAAACAAACAAACAAACAAACAAACAAACAAACAGACAAACAATCAAACAAACAAACAAACAGACCAACAAACAAACAGACAAACAGACAAACAGACAAACAAACAGACAAACAAACAAACAAACAAACAGACAAACAGACAAACAAACAAACAGACAAACAAACAGACCAACAAACAAACAGACAAACAAACAAACAGACAAACAAACAAACAAACAGACAAACAAACAGACCAACAAACAGACAAACAAACAGACAAACAAACAGACAAACAAACAGACAAACAAACAGACAGACAAACAGACAGACAAACAAACAGACAAACAAACAAACAGACAGACAAACAGACAGACAAACAAACAGACAAACAAACAGACAAACAAACAAACAAACAGACAAACAAACAGACAAACAAACAAACAAACAGACAGACAAACAGACAAACAACCAGACAAACAGACAGACAGACAGACAAACAGCGGCGGTGTGTCAGAGCGGCGCGCGGTGAATTATTGACACAGTTTACAGAAATCTGTGATGGAGTCTGTTCCCATCATCAGCTTCATAAATCTCTGTATCATTCGTTCATTTGATTTTCAAAATAAAACTAAAATTGAAAAACGGGTTAATCTGTGCTGAATTTATCTGGCACACTCCGGCGTCCAGAAAAAATAGAACTCTTGTGATCAGCTGAGGAGTCCGGCGATCCGCAGAGGAACGGAAAGAAGTCGGTGTAAATTGACACGTTAACTTGAATGGTTACGATCAGCTACGATCGGAGGATACGATCTTTTAGGAGACCATCAGGATGAAGGTGGAAACTGGGGGTGACCTTTTCGTCTGTGGAAAGTTTCGTGACCCGGAAGTGACCCTTTACTCAGACGTCAAGAGAACGAGTAACAGACTTTGGTCTTATAGCTGGACTCCAGAATTATTCAGAGTTCATGCGACACTTTTTTTTCTGGATGTCAAAACTCCTGCGGAGATTTCTACTGAAGGAGGAAGGAGAGCCGAGATGTTCTGAAACGTCCGTCAAACGGTTCTGTGCCCAAAACTACCTGAGGAGAAAAGGACAGGGTCTGATACATGATCCTGTTTTTATTTGAGCTGAAGAAAACAGAAGAAAATTAGCCGTTATCTGCTTTTTCATCTTTGGTTTTATTTTGAAAATCAAATAAACGAATGATACACGGATTTACCTCAAAAGTGTTTGACTGCTGTACATGTCCTTGTTTTCTCACGCTGAGTTTCTGGGTGCTGAGACGTCATCTTGACTGTTTGTGCTGAGAGTGGTGCAGAGGACACTGAACATGAGCGTCCTGTCCTGTCCTCTCCTGTCCTCTCCTGTCCTGTCCTCTCCTCTCCTCTCCTGTCCTGTCCCATCCTGTCCTGTCCTGTCCTGTCCTGTCCCGTCCTGTCCTGTCCTGTCCCGTCCTGTCCCATCCTGTCCCATCCTGTCCTGTCCTGTCCCGTCCTGTCCTGTCCTGTCCCGTCCTGTCCCATCCTGTCCCGTCCTGTCCTGTCCCGTCCTGTCCCATCCTGTCCTGTCCTGTCCTGTCCTGTCCTGTCCTCTCCTGTCCTGTCCTCTCCTCTCCTGTCCTGTCCTCTCCTGTCCTGTCCCATCCTGTCCTGTCCTGTCCTGTCCTCTCCTGTCCTGTCCTGTCCTGTCCCGTCCTGTCCCATCCTGTCCCATCCTGTCCTGTCCTGTCCCGTCCTGTCCTGTCCTGTCCCGTCCTGTCCCATCCTGTCCTGTCCTGTCCTGTCCCGTCCTGTCCCATCCTGTCCTGTCCTGTCCTGTCCTGTCCTGTCCTCTCCTGTCCTGTCCTCTCCTCTCCTGTCCTGTCCTGTCCTGTCCTGTCCCGTCCTGTCCCATCCTGTCCTGTCCTGTCCCATCCTGTCCTGTCCTGTCCTGTCCTGTCCCGTCCTGTCCTGTCCTGTCCTGTCCTCTCCTGTCCTGTCCTCTCCTGTCCTGTCCTCTCCTCTCCTGTCCTCTCCTGTCCTGTCCTGTCCTGTCCTGTCCTCTCCTGTCCTGTCCTGTCCTGTCCTGTCCTGTCCTGTCCTCTCCTGTCCTGTCCTGTCCTCTCCTGTCCTGTCCTCTCCTGTCCTGAAAGTTTTGACTCGTTCTCAGAAACCAGGAACATTTTCCCCCAGTCCTCAGATAAATCACGCTGCACGCTCCCTCAGACGGTGTTGTTGTGAGTCTGAGCGTCTCCTCACAGGTCCAACAGGAGTGTAGATGAAGACAGAGGGACGGTCCTGACAGTCCAGGTCCTGACAGTCCAGGTCTGGACTTTTCTGTCAGAGTCTCTGTCCAGAGGAATCAAAACAGTTTTTTGTTCGCGTTGTTATCTTGTTATCTTGTAACATCGCAGCTTCAGCTCATCAGAGGAACAGACCAGCAGAAGAGGACAATGACAGTCCCTCGTCCTCGACAGCATCCCCCCCCCCACATCACATCCCCCTGCAGGATAAATGGGTGTCCTTGTGTTTCTTCTTTTTTTTCCCGGCTGCTGTTTACAGCCCACAGAAACGCTCTTTCTCTTTTCACTCCCCGTCTTTGTCATCGTCATTCACTCTCTCCCTTCGGCGTCTGACTCATCCTTCCCTTCCTCTGCGGGCCTCCCAGTGTGGAGCTGCTGGAGGTTTCAGAGCAGGTCATCTACAAGAGTTAGAAAAAAACACACATCCCTTTTTCTCTAAAAGTCAAAGTACTTTCACAAGTCGACCCTCACAGATTTTCTCTGAACCCAAAGCTGTTCGAGTGTCTGTCTCACATGGTTTTCCCCCGACGACACGGCCGTGACAATCTTCTGCTGTTTACAGTGAAGGCCTTCAGCTGCAGGAGATCTTCCCAGACCTGCTCTGCCTGGACTCTGCGTGTCACTGAGCACGAGGAGTCTGCAGTTTCCTCTGTTTCTGTTCGTTGTGTTTTTATCGTAGGGCTGAGCGATAAACTGAAAATCCACAGAAACTGACGACAATCACTGACGTCATTTTGCTCATGTCGGTATATTCAGTGTCAATAAATCAATAAATCAAAGTTGTTCTTGGATGTGTGTAGGTAGGCTATGGTCTCATGTCCCTTTAAGACGCTGTCCTACAGACGTGACTCCGCCCCATCCAGTCAGTATCAAAGAGGGACAGACAGGTGAGGAGATGGAGGACGGAGAGAAAGTTAACTTGGAGTAGTTATTGTCCATTTATCGTTATCGAGGTGAACTGATCAATATATCGTGATATTGATTTGAGGACATATCGCCCAGCTCTAACTTATCGTCCAATCAGGTCTCAGTAAGCTGCAGCGTGCAGGACGAAGAAAACAGTCTGTACGGAGAAAAAACAGGCTGAACACAGTCGGCCGTCACCACCTCTACAATCAGACACCCGCACACACACACACACGCTCAGCTAACGAGCTGTGTCTGATTAATATAGATGTAATATGAATAGAAGCTGAACGCCTTAACTTAGACGCTCTGTTTTAGATGAACGTCTGTTTAAATGAGTCGTGTTTCTGTCGAGTGATTCTGCAGAAACAAACCAGCATCCTGAGCTTTAACTGATGAGTCTGTTATTTAAGGCTCGTTAATTCAGGTTAATTACAGAAAATCTGTGTCTGTCTCAGACATCGTTATAGAGAGTTATGATAGTTTCAGACGTGTGTCAGAGGAGATCCAGATGACTGAGCTGTTAATGACCTGCTCTCAGGGTTAATGATCTGATCATGTCCTACAACATTTGGACGTCAGTCTGAAAGGAAACCTGGTTCTGTAGATGGATGGAGTTCTTCTGTCTCAGAGTCAGGTCAGTTATTTTTCACCTCCTTAAAGGGACAGACTACAGAAGCTAATACATTCACCAAGAAGAGACTAACTGTGTTTCCTGTCCTCTGGGATCACGATCATTTAAAAACAGACGCTTTCGTCCTCCTCCAATCGATTTATGGGAAATAAACAACACGGCCCATTTGTTTATTTTAATCAAGTTTGACTTTCTTTGGAGACTCTGGGAGATTCTTCTTTCTTTGAGTCACATCGATGGAATCATCAGAAGTTTGTCTACTTTGACACCTGAGGATTTACATACTCTATGTTTAACTGATAACATGTTTTACTCTCATCGACCCCGTATTTGAAGTTATCATGGAGCTGGAGAATCAGCTGATTTGGAGCAGCTGTGGTGGTTAATGTGATCTGACTGTATGAGATTCGCTTAGTCAGGAAAAAAAACACATAAAGACGAAAAAAAATGTACAAAAAAACAGAAAAAAATCAGAAAAAAAGAATGAAGAATAAAAGTACAAAATAAAAAAAAAATAAAAAAACAAAACAAAAAAAAAAGGAAAAAAAATCAGAAAAAAGTGAAGAAAAAAAGTACATATTTTTTTTTTAAATTAAAAAACAAAACAAAAAAAAAAACAAGTTCAAAAAACAGAATAAAACATTTTTGGAAAAAAAGAAAAAGGAAAAAAAACTTTAAAAAACTGTTTCCTTTTTTTTTGTAAATGAACATAATCCGCCTCTGTAACAGTCGGTTTACAGTCTGTTTACAGTCTGTAACAGTCTGTTTACAGTCTGTAACAGTCTGTTTACAGTCTGTAACAGTCTGTTTACAGTCTGTTTACAGTCTGTTTACAGTCTGTAACAGTCTGTTTACAGTCTGTAACAGTCTGTTTACAGTCTGTAACAGTCGGTTTACAGTCTATTTACAGTCTGTTTACAGTAGTTCCCGTCCTGAGCCGGACCCCGACCCCCTGCTGTCTGAAATCTTAACCCACCTGTAGCGGAGAACAAAGGGCACTGTGGTTCTGGTTCTGGTTCTGGTTTTTCTTTGTCTGTTTGTGGAGCAGGTTTATTCTGGTTCAGTCTGAGCTCTGAATAGTCGGGCCTTGTAAGCTGAGAGAGAGAGAGAGAGCGAGCGAGCGAGGAAGGACAGCACTCCTAATGAATTAATCATTGAGCTGATCTGAAGCCTCGGCTGTTTCTGTAACCAAAGGTAGCACAGCCGCTCGCCGCTCGCCGCTCGCCGCTCCGCATCGACAATGACCGACTCCTGCTGAGCTTCAGAGAAACGTCGGAGGACAGGAAGAACTGCTCTCTCGTTTCTCTGATTTCTTCTTTTTCTTTAGATCTACTTTGACCT